ACAAATTTTGATAAAAACCTACCTTTTTGTAGTTATCGACAATAAAAATTCGGACTCAGTCGCGTTCATTCGTCTGCCATTACGAGTCTTGTTTGACTACATTCACTGCGGAACATCTTATGCGCGGAAGCTTAATTAACAGCCCTTTTACTGCTCTTACTCGTTTAAATTACTGCGTACTTGTGTCGAAAAGCAATGACAAGTGTTGTTATTTCTTTCAACTGCTTTTTTTCTAAAGTTTTCTTTTTAAATTAAGAGAAAAATTAAATGATAAAAATAAAGCTTTTCTTTTAAATTAAAAATAAAACAATAATTAATGCGCAAACTTTGCACGAACTTTGGAAAGAGCATGATTACTAACCTTGTCCCCTTGAACCCCAACGGTTAAAGGTTTAGGGGTTAGAGTTAGTGATCATGCTCTTTTCAAGGTTCGTGCAAAGTTTGCGCATTAATTATTGTTTTATTTTTAAATTACAACAAAGGCTTTATTTTATTATTTAATTTTTTTTTATTTAAACAGAAAGCTTTATTTACCACTTGTCATTGCTTTCCGACAGTGCGCAGTAATTTACACGAGTAAGATCAGTAAAAGCAGTAGGCCGTTAATTACGCCTCCGCGAGTAAAGTGTTCCGCAGTGAATGTAGTTAAACAAGGCCTTGTAATGGCGAACAAATGAACGCGACCGAATCCGAATTTTATCGTCGAAAACTTCAAAACAGTAGGTTTTATCAAAATTTGGGCGTTATTTTTGAGTTTAGCATATACATTTACAGAGGAAATATGACGATTTGGGAAAGTTGTAATAAATTTTCTTTGCGGGGCTGAAAAAGCAAATTTACCCATATACCTCCAAAGCGGCTGCAAGAGTATTTCTTTAACCTGGAAAATATAAATAGGTCAAATATTTTGTTCGTATACTTTTTTTTTTAATTAAATTGCCGCTGAAAATTTTTTGTCTTATAGAAAACAAGCCAAGTTTAACAAGGGAGACAACTAAGATCAAGGGAGACAACTTTAGCAAGCTTAATTTTATTTTTTTCAGGTAGTGATAGTTATAAAAAGGCAGTAATTGGTAATATGAAGAAATACTTATTCAAATCATGAAATTCGAATATTAGTTCTTTATAAAATCTTGTTCTTTAGAAATTATTTACTAAATCTGTAAAGAATAAAGAACATGACTGTTCATATCAATCAGCGGAATGAAAAGTGTTAGTTATGATGAAATGTGATTTCCGTCGTATTCATTCAGTCTTGTAGTGAGTTGTTAATCGCCCGTATTCTCGTCTGCCTTCCTCTTACTGATTGGACAATTGTATAAGTCTCCATCCGATAGTTATGCTAAGTAGGCAGTAATTTACATATCAGTACACAATGAAATGTAAAATCATTTCCGATAAAGATATTTTTAAGACATTGTCTTTAACATTAATTTCTGCTAATAATTTACAAGTATTTTAATTGTATGTGCATTTCACTAAAAAAATAAGTAAATAAATAAATAAATTCTGTAATCATTTATTTTTTTACTTCCGGTGTAAGTTAAACTATCGGTAAATTTTCATAACACCCGAGCGTCATTCACTGCTGAACTATTTTCTTTCAGAAATTAGTACGCGCTTCCGTAAAGCGTTTTTTTTTTTTACTTAATTTAAGAAGAAAGTTAAGTTAACTTTCAAATATATGTAAACATCGCCAAATAAAAGAATAACAAAAGAAAAAAAACACCTAACGCTAATTTGAAAGTTAACTTTCTTCTTAAAAAACAAAATAAAACAAAAAAAAACAAAAAAACACCTAACGCTAATTTGAAAGTTAACTTTCTTAAAAAAAAAAAATTACTATGTTATTCTTTTATTTGTCGATGTTTACATATATTTGAAAGTTAACTTTCTTCTTAAATTAAGTACAAAATAAATAAATAAAAATCGCTTTACGGAAGCGCGTACTAATTTCTACAAGGAATTACTGTGAAGGAAGTAAATAGGCCCAAATTGTATACGTCCAGCAACAAAATTCAGCATTAAATTACTTATCAATAAGCCGGTAATGGCTGACGAAAGACCAGGAAAAAGTCCGATTTTTTTTCGGGTCGTTAACATCCAAAAAGCTAGGTTTCTTTAATATCTAATTGTTGATTTGAGTTCAACATATACATTTGCACGGAAATAAGACTATTTGGTAAAAAATTTGAAGGAACATTAGCGCTCGGGTGTTAAAATGAAAATTTACCAAACTATCTAATTCGAATAAATTCATTAAAATATATGCATTTTCAAATTTATTGAGTACTTAGGCGAGATTCCGGGTTGTTACACAGGAGAATGAAACAGAATATTAAAGTGTTGGCTAGTGAAATAATAATAACCATCATTTAAATCCCTGTGCTATGTAGTACAGACAATAGAAACCTGAGCTGGGTAGTACAAAGTCAGAAGAAACTGGAGTAACAATATAAATGAACAACTGACCGCAATATTACTAGACATGGACAGCAGAACAAGAATAATTTACAGTACACATGTAGATTGAATTAAAAAAAGGGGTTCAGTTTAAAACGCAGGCGTAAGCAGAAAAATTGGCCTATTTACTTCTTTTACAGACTTTCCTTGCAGAAAATCAATACGCACTACCGTAAATGTATTTTTTTTTGTTTTTTGCTATTCAAAACGGAAAAAAGGTTCCGATGTATTATTTAATTTGTTTTTGTTATAAATAAAACTACACTTACCAAAAAATAAAAAAATATAACATTTCTTTACAGCAGTGCGTAGTGATTTTCTGCAAGGAATGTCTGTAAAAGAAGTAAATAGGCCAAATTTTCTGCTTACGCCTGCGTAGGTAATACGCAGGGAATTAGTAATCATGATGGCAGTAATGAGGGACGAATGACCAACAAGAAGTCCGATTTTTCTTGTCGATAACTCCAAAACGGTAAGGTTTCTTCATAATTTAATTGTTAATTCGAGTTCAGCATGTACATTTGCACGGAATTATGACGATTTTGGAAAAATTTTAAGAAGGGATATTAGCGCTCGGGAAACAAAACCAAAATTTGCCATTTTCGTTTTATTCTCCTTCCTGTTATTTTTTTTTTTTTATCCCAACACGCTATACACTAGCCTTCATTATTGCTACCATCGAAAATGACGTATTTTATTAGAAATAAAATTAGAGATAATAATTAGCTTTTCATGTGAGTTTTTTTTTTTTTTTTTAATTGTATTTTTTCACTTACACTATCTGTTCACTCTTCAGCATCAGACACATCTTAAAACAGTTTACTGTTGTCATTAGAAAAAAAATAAAACATTTCCATCTGGCGTTGTCGGTGCAAGAAAGTCAACTCAAGTACATAATGTTCCAGGCGTAACAAGCAAAAAATTGATGAATACACTACGATAGTTGAAGATATGATTCCTGAAAGTAGTTGACAGGCAGTCAACCAGATGGTGAGGCCTCTCATTAGTAAAAGAGACTGGTGCGCAATGGAATGCATCAAGAGACAGGCCCCGAAACGAAACGTATTCTCTCCTAAACAACCATTAATCGGAGCATTCGATTGGCAGTAGTTTCCTGTATAGTTTAAAGTTGCAAGGGAGATAACTCTAATGGAAGAAAACGTAGCGGACAAAAATTTTACTAACGAACTTTGCGTAAAAGTACTTATATACTACCTTTTAGTATTTTTTTTTTTTATCACAACACTCTGCATTCATTATGATTGATCTAGTTAATTTTGTTGCTGTTTCTTTTTTTTTTTTTTTTTTTTTATTTGCCAACCCATTGTCTTTGGAATTTGCGTTTTACAAACGAAAAATAGTCTCTCGCCATAGAAAATCAAATATCCTTTTTTTGGGAAAATACTGAAAATTTAAACAGTGTGGAATTGCTTGTTTATTTTGCACACCGATTGCAGATCAAGTTCAGTCTGCATTTAGTACACACCACCCAGTGTATTTGATTATGTAAAGCTTAGTAATTATTGTATTTATAATAATCAGACTACACACACACATGTATGTATGCCCAAAATCAATGAGGAGGCAAGAAAAACGACAAAAAGGAGAAATATCTACGAAATTTTAGACGCATGCGCATACATGTAGAATTAGAGTGGAACTTTAAAAAAAAAAAAGAAAAAAAAAGAAAAAAAAGTTTACTTTTAACTACTATTGTTTCACTCCAAAATCCCAAGAAAAAAATAATGTCCAAGAATTAAATATTTTGTCAAAGCCTATTTACACATTTTTTTTTTTTTTACAGTCATTTGATTCCATATTTATGTAAAAAGAGTTTTCAATTGGCTAGTCACAGTACAAACACAAGACTATCATTTTTAGTGGTTATAACAATCACTTTTATGGTCTTAACTTATGCCATGAAAGCAATTTGGTCAAGGCTTCTGAAAAACAGATTTCCTCACATGCAGCTGTTTGTGCCAGACAATATCTGGAACTCATTCCAAATGCTTCAGAAATTCAAGACAATTTATTGCACCTTTGATTATTCAGAAACAGAAGGGCAAGAATTAATGGTTTGTTCAACAAAGTTTTAAATTTAACCCATTAATGCCCACTGTAAAATCCAGTATTAATTACAGGTTTCTATTGCTAACTTAATGCTTACCATCCCCAAAATGGGACAGTGTTCATTAATGAGTCAAAGCAATAGAGCAATATTCATATTAAATGAAGATTTCTAACAAAAAAAGGAAAGTGAACTATTCATTTTTTTGTCAACACTTTATAAATAACTACAGAATAATAACTCAAAGAGTTGCAATATATAAAAACTGAAATTAAATCCAAAGAAAAACTAGCCAAAAATTCATCTCTATAAACAAGAAACAAAAAATAAAAAACTTAGAAATATATTCAGTGCATATCTCTGTGAATACATTTTGTCTCTAAGTTTTTTATTTCCTCTTGAATTATGTGTTAGTTATCTCCCTTACAATGGCGATGCCAAGTGATAATGTCTTTGTTATGGCAAGGTTTATGGCCACAGCATGTTGAAACGCTGGTTCCTGTATGATCACCAAAGTTAAGCAATATCAAGTCTGGTCAGTACCTAGATGGGTGACCACTTAGGAATACTAGGTGCTGTAAGCTTGAATTTAAAGCTGGTGTAATGGATAATGGCTTGGAATTGTCAATTGGAGAGCAGAGTTCCAATTCCCATTGGGTTTGTTATATTTGTTTATCTGCAAATACCCTTGAGAATCCACCTCTTCTCCTGCCCAGTTATAAGTTAATTAGTAAGACTTGTATCACTAAAATATTATTATCTTAAAAAAAAAAAAAAAAAAAAATCAGTTAAGAGATTAGTACAACAATAAATATAAAAAATACATTTGAAGATACAGATAGCAATCAAATAATAGAAAGGCCTTAGCAGCTGACACCATCATTTTGGAGGGCCTGAATAATGAACTCAATATTATAAGAGGAAGCATTATCAAGTATTTAGGCAAACCTATTTTACTGGCCATTTTGAAATTAAATCAATTAAGTGCCATACATGATTGAACAATCATGTCTTTTCCAAGTCATTACTGACTAGGCAGAAGATTCCCCCCCCCACCCTGCACAGTAGGCTGGTTGCCAACCAAGGCTATAGCAACAAATCTCTCCTGCTATCCAAGACTTAGATGGGGTAGGGAGGAGAGATGGATTCATATATGAATAATTTAATCTACCACCAACCAAAATGTCTCAAATTCTGGGGAAAATTATATATATAAAGCATAATTTAAATGTGGCACAAGGCTGAAAGTATGGAGCACCCATTGAGTATCGATCTCACTATTCATTCGCTCTAGTGAGACGAGCTTGCTAACCATTACAACACATCAAAATTGTTTTTATGAAAGTCAAACATCTATAATTTAAAATTCAGTTTATTTTAAACAAGTGTTTGAATTTTGCTCTGAAACATTAAGTACTGAGATATATATGTATATATATTTTTAACAATCCCCCCTCCAATTTACTCAGGTTAAATAATTACCCATATTGTTAAGCAAAAGAAAACACTTTTAAATGAAACACCATTTGAAAGATGAGATTTTAAAACTAAGTCAGAAACCCAACATAATTGATAAACAATTTAAAGTCAAAAGAATAAAACATTTTTTAAGCTGTTAGTCACAATAGAGCCCTATAATTGGATTCAATTGGGTAACCTTTCAAATTCACTCTTTCTTGGTTAAATGATTATCTTAATCAAATGGTGGACAGATCCTTCATTTTATCCTTTGATCAAGGCAACACACTCTCAATGAGTGTGCTTTGAGCATCTTTTGGGATTCAAGTTCACTCCCAACCTCAAGTGGAACTCATATATACAACCCATTACTAAAATGGTCACCACCTTAAATCACTTCAAAAAGATCATGGCAGATGGATTTGGCTACTATTTTACAAAACTGAGATCAGACCAAAAATGGAGTATTGCTGCCATACCAGGACTGGAGCTGACAAATCCTCACTTACCAGAGTTCAAAACCATTTCTGTGGCTTTGTAGGCAATTATTTCCCCCACCCTAAAACACCTTTTTCATAAATGCAATGTCATGAGCCTCTTTTATTCCATCACTCTCGATGTGGAAGATTGTCAGATGAACTACAATTCCTAGTTCTACCAGTTCAGATATTTACAACTAACACCTGCTATGCCATGTATACAAACAGGGACAAACCATTCTCATTCCCTTGGCAAGAAGGAAATTTCTTCCCAAGAGCTGTTACTTTATAGAACAGACTCCTGAGAGGATGTTTCCTTGAATGAACACCACAATCTTAACCTTTTCAAGTCTAAAGTCAAACATTACCTACCCTCATAATCCACCACTGTCCATATAATCACCTCATTTAGTAACCCCCTAAATCAATTGGTTCTTGCTTTGTAATAAGTGAACAAAAAAAAAAAAAAAAAAAAAAAAAAAAAAAAAAATCAGCTAATTAGAATCAAGATTCTCCTATTTATTAATAGGACCTCATCTTGGGCAATCCCCCACCCCACCCCGAGTTTATTGTAAGTTTTAAGAAGGTCTGTGCTTTATTCTGCAATTATTTTAATTTGCTAAAACAGCAAAAATTTGTACAAAGTCAGTTCATAGGTTGAGCAGTTAAAAACTACTCCCCCCACAGAAGAAATCACTAAACAAAACAAAACTCCAGACTAAATATACAAATATTTTTTTCTTCCATTTTTTTTTCTTAAATTAAGTAACTTATTTGAATGAAATGTTTATCTTGTCATAATAGCAACTGGCTTTTGATGGTATAGAATAGTCCCCCACTCAAGTTACATTTAATATTATGGAGTTAGATCAGCTACAAATACTGGTTGCCGGGAGCATTTGGATAAACACTTTGCATACAAGACAAAGTAGATACATTTTGAGACCTCCCCCCCAACCTTAAGAAATGGGTTGGAAAGTAAGGATGCTTATATGCCAACAAGTATAGTACTTGAATAAATAAAAAATAATGATTACAAGACATTTTCATTAAAATAATGGAGAATGATAATTTACATACAAATCTGATCAGGCACTTGATTGCCAGTCAATCAATGTAGGTGATGTTTGGAGATCATACATACATAAAGTGAAATAGCTTTTATTTTGATAAAAGAGCCATTTCATTTATTTATAGTATCCATACTGAAGATAAATTTTTCCCATGATGCAACTGTAGTCACTGAATACCAAGTTCAAATCAATCAATATTATTTTTGTGATTTGTTTTCTCTTTTTCAATGTCATACTGATTGTAATTTTTTATAAAATATAAGAAATAACCCTATATATATATATATATATATATATATATATATATATATATATATATATATATATATATATTTATTTATTTATTTATTTTAAGTACACTAGATTTGCTCATATTGGAAAAACTGCTACACACGATTATACATTGTTTGATAACCTACTTTAGTCGACCATGCATTAATATATTACTCTAATATTTTTTTTACTATTTAAAGTGAATGTTTACATTTTTACATAAATGCAACAGTAGTAATATTGGCCATAGCAAAGAAGTGTATTGGCAGTGAAATGGCATATATATTTCCCCACAAACTGATTGGGTTATAAGATCCAAATTCTACCGAGTAAATCACTGGACTATAGGAAGAGCCTAAATCAATTTTATTGAAACAATTCATTGATCTGATTTAAAAAGTTTTCTTTAACCCTTTAATGTCTATTATAAAATCCAGTATTAATTAGAAAGTTTAAAATAAAAATTTGCCACCTGTTATAGGTTTTTAACATTCACACACAAAGAGAAACAACAACCTGTATTAATTATAGGTTTCTCCTTCTAGCCAATTAATACCCACTATCACTTTTATGAGATGTTAAGCATTAATAGGTTAAGATTAGGTACCACCACAGATTCGTGATACCTAAAGTTTAAAATGAAAAATCTTTCTTGAAGCTTTTATTTTAGTTTTAATTTCAAGTTAATATATTAAATTTAATATTTCCAATAAGCAAAATACTTTGCTCTATTTCAAAACTAATTAAAATTGACAGGAAGGAGTATTTTATTTTTCTAAAAAAAAATTTAATTTTAGTGCTATTTTGAGCATTAATTCTCTTTAAAAAAATCTTCCAAAAATAAAATATACTTTTCTGGAATTTTATTTGAGGAATATTAGCTGATTTAAAGTATAATTAATCTGATTTGAAACAAATATTTACTTTAAGTTCAAAATTTCGTAGAAATGCATTTTTTTAACCTGACAGTAGCTGTTTATTTAAGCTGTTGACAGTATAATGACAGACCTAATGTTTTTCTATGGGGACTTTATCTGTAAAACATAATTGAAGAAAATGATGTAAGCACCTTTTTTTTTTCCATATAATTTTTAAGTACCCAGTAATCTTTAAAATTTAGGAAAATTTTCTGTAATCCAATGTTTTATTGAATTGTAGATACTTTGGCTTTAAATGTACTATAGTTAGTCTTATTTTCTAATGTCATGTATGAATTTTCGTATCTACAAAAAAGTCAGCACATTTATACACATACAAAAAAAAAAAAATAAATAAATAAATAAAAGTAAATCAAAATTCTTTTAAAAATATTGATGCTTGATTAAGCTTTTTCCATTATGATTAGGAAAATATAGTTTTTACTTAATAATATCAAAAAAAAAAAAAAATTATGATTTAAATTCTCCAAGGAGTTCTACTTTTAACTAATATAAATATTAAGGATGTGAAATTTAATTTCTTGAAATTTCATAAAATAAGTGGGGGAGTGGGTAACAGAAGCAAAAAAAAAAAAATAAAAAAAAAAATAAAAATAATTCATTTATGAATAAGTCCTGAAAATTTCATTAAAATCTGACAATTATTTGATTTTTTTTCTTGTAAGAATTCACAAATCAATGTTTTTACTGCAAAAAAGACACTAAAATTTCCTATACTAATCTTTGTCACCCTGCTGCCCCCCCCACCAAAATTCTGAATATACTCAAAAAGATAAAAAGAAATACTTTCCTCTTAATAATAACAAAGATTTTGACAAATAAACTTCATTTGTCATCATGATATGCTCTTTATTCAACCAATTAGTTAAGATGGTTAAAAAAGAATGTTAAAAACCATGACTTATTAGGCAACCTGTATAGATCTTGTTCGATTTATTATTTGTTTCAACTATTAATTAATTTGTTTCACATTTCTAATGAAGCCAATGAGTTTAAATTGACACGAACCAAGTTATCCCAGATTTAGCAACAGTTAACAAGTGGAAAATTTTTTTTAGTCTTCCTGAAAAAGATCTACATACCGAATTGGCAGATTTTATGATTTCAGAGAGCTTAGTCTGCAGTTACAGTGTCAATATGAGATAAGATCAAGGTTAAATAAATTGTTACTAGCATGTCAACATATAGACAGGATTGCTAGGAGTGGCCTGTCTCAGGCAAAAACGGTAAAGGCATTACCACCATTCTAGGTAAAGAGCTGGGGTTAATTTTCAAATCAGGCAGGCTCACCCGATTTGTAAAATTGTCTTCTGGCAAAATTTTTCTCTCTTCTATTCAGAAGTTTTGTAAGAAGGTTGAGT